AAAGGGCTTCCAGCAAAGGGTCTCTCCTGTGTAATAAATGGGCTCAAATGAACCTTTCAGAGGTAGAGAACTGGGTCATTAAAAATTACTTCTTCCTGTAGGATCTTATTTTTGATCTAATTGCAATCATTTAATTGGCATGCTAATGGACAAAGGTGTTGCCAGAGTCCGTCTTTGCTATATCTTTTTGTCACAGGGCAGATGCCTTTTTAATTGGCCACAAAATTTGCCAGCATCCCCTTTATAGTCTTGATGGTACTTCTAAATAAAATTTTAAAAAATCTACTACAAAACAAAAACAAAAAAATTACCTCTTTTCTTTTCTTTCTCATTTTTAAAATAGTGTAAACATTTTACATTATCCAACATAATATACACCATCTAAAAGCCAGATTTTTAATGAGGTAGCTGGCTTATTCTCATACACAATCAGAGTATGAGGAAAGCTTGCTGACAACCTAGCATTTGAACTTGATGGTTAATTCTTTCAGGAAAGCTATTGCAGTACTGTATGGAGAACCATCTACCCGTTTAATGAGTCAAGCAGAGAAGATCAGATTTTCTAGTCTCTGAATAATATTAGAGACATTTCCTGTTGAGTGCTCTCTTCAGGGATATATCTTGTCTAATCTCCTTGAAAATCCTTGATTTACAATGAAAACGGTGGCATCTTCTTCCTCCATCTCTTTCTCAAAATGATTCCCCATGCAGATGTTATCTTCTGAAAGGCAGCTATTTCCAGAAGCCCAAGAATCAAATTCTTGTGTCATATAGAGAAATGAGAAGAACTGGAAGAGTGCCAATCACAAAACTTTTTCCTTTTCCTCATGCTTTACCACATCAGATGCTGTTTTAATTCTGACTTAGACCCTGATAAATAAGTTCCAATTAAAGACAGATGATCACTTCCCTTATATCATACCATACTTCTTTTATTCATAACCAGGCAGACTGAATTTAAAATACTGAAATGTAACAGGTGATATGCAAAATTCTACTTTCAAAACAACAAAAAAAAAATAGGTTTTATACGTATAATTTTCCGTGTTCTACCAATGTCTTAGGCCTTCTCTTCTTGCCATTTCCCACATTGTGATAAATGGTTACATCATATTTTTCATTGACAAAACCTCAAATCTAGGAGCCATCTATTATACCTCTATTTTCCCCACTTTCCAAATCAAATTCATCAGCAAGTCCTTTTGTCTGTACTAAACTTATATCCCAAATTCATCCTGTTTTAGAAAACAATGAGAAATGGAATCATTAAAAAACTCAGTCATATAGATGAATCTATGACCAGTGTGATTCTGCAATCTGTACAATTAGAAAAATGAGAAATTATACCCCAATGATTTAAATGTATGAATTGCCAAGATCATTGTAATGTCATGTGTAGCTAATAAAAAAAAAATAAAATTAATTAAATGTTGAGGATGATGGTACCAAAAGATGTCCCTGATAGCCTTGGGAATAAAGCATCTCAAAATAATAAAAGTCATGTGATGATAGCGATCCATCAGGATGGTAGTTCCAATGATCTTAATGAGTAGCATGCTCAGAATGACAACCACTATAAACTGGCCCACAGAAAGGAGTGGAACACGGAGCTGCTAGAAGAAAAATATGTGGTAGCCAAAAAAGTTTGTTTAATTTTCATGTTCAAAAGGAAAGGAAAGTGGAAGATTAGGAAGTCTAAGGCATTCAACTACAATGAAAAGTCAGGATCCATTGCCTAGATTTTTGCATTTAGCCCAAATTCTTAGACCCAGAACCCAACTCAGACAGTTTAGTAACTAGCAGTATGTACTTGGGTGCATAACAGGGCTTAATGCCATCATTAGAGATTTAAAGAATTTGCTGGGTGGTGTTACACATTATACATACCTTTAATTCATCATCTTAACATATATTTAAAAAAAAACTACTTGGAAGACAACAATGAATTCTCTAAAATTTGTCCTTCATGCTCACACCTTCAATTGCCAGTTGTAAAATCTTCAGTAGAGAAGACTAATATGATTTTAGGTGCCTGGCATATAACCTAGTATATGGCAAATGATATCTGTTTCATTCCAATCAGAAGGGAGGAGCGAAAGCAATTTGCATTCAAGATTTACATTTTACACTTACAGTCTTACCTTTGTCTGTGCTAACTCTCTTGCTGTCTGAATAATATAGTTTAAGGGACTTATACTTTTTGAACATTGCTTTAGTCGATTTTTCTCAGAAATAATAGAGTAACAAAGACTGAGTAATTCATAAAGATTTAAAATTTATTCCCTCACAGTTGTACAGGCTGTGAAGTCTAAGATCAAGGCACTGGTATCTAATGATGGGTTTCTGCTTTTTTTTTTTTCTCAGCTGCCAGAAGATAGAAGGACAAAAGGGAGATGAACATGTTGTCCTCACTTGTCAGAAGACTCTAAGAGGGCTATCCCACTTCTGCAAGCCCTTTTATAGATGCATAAATCCTAATGCCACGTAAACCTCCCATTAGGCCCTACTTCCAAAACAGTTGCATTGTGGATTGTTTCCAGCATGTAAACTTTGGAGTGGGGTACTTTCAGACCCTAGAAGACTTCCAACAGAATATTGCTTTCATTCATATATCTATGGCATCATATTAAGCAAACTGGATGAGCAGGAAGTGGCAATAATGTTGAAGGTCTCAGTAAGACAAAGGTGCTCCAGCCAGTGGGAAATAAACCTTACAAATATTCAGAGCCCTTTCACATCAGTAAACTTTTAAAGGGCAGAGTAGTCAGAGACCTACTAGGATATTATCACTCAAACTAAAAGGCAAATTATTGCATTTCAAAATTTTCATAATTGATAAAGAAGCACAATGCCTATTCAGCTTCTTTGGGCTCTGGAACCAGCAAATTTTACTCTTAGGAATATTGTTCTGGCTACTTTTGAGTGACACAGATGGCTGCCAGCTTTAGGTCCAGGCCAGAAAAGGCTTTTGATGTAGGTCTTGGCTGTGGTGTAAGCAGTCCTACTTTTTGGCCAATACAACCTGGCAGATCCAATGGCATTAGAGATATCTGTAGTGGGAGATGATGTTTGGCATATACTACAAAATTTACTAGCAATATAATAACATAGAACCCTGAAATGCAAGAGGAAAGCTGTGCCAGGGTTTCACAATCTTAAAAATAGCTTCTGACATGCTATTAGTCTTTGGGGAGGCCAAGCAACTAATGGTTCAAACGACCATGGAGCCAGATTGACCACTGTGAACTGGGTTTTCTTATATACTAAGTCAAAAGTTTGAGTACAACAGAAATTCATAAGATGGAAAATATACATTGAAAACTGGCCTAAATAAGCCCAGAGGACAGAAATAAGCTTTACATACAGGTATTTATAATTCTTATGACATCTACCTTCAATCACTACTGTGTCCCTTATCTCACATCCATGGCAGCACAAGAGTCTTTTATAAAAAAAATTAATTCCTATAAAACTGGCTAATGAATGGGTTGGCTAGGTATGTTGGTAAAAGCCAAAACTGAGTTGCTATTGTACTATACGTGCTGAAAGATAGTAATAGAAGGAAACCTTCCCATTGGATAAGACTTCAAGTAGTGAATTTGATGACCCATTTCTGCAGGTAGAAAAGTTTATACTAACTTATTGAGAGCAATGAGTGGCTTGGCTAGTTAATCTGAAGATCAGATCAACAAAAAATCATGACAAGAAAGCCTGAGTATCCTGTGAAAGCAAATACAAAGTATGAATGGTACATCAATGTCAACACTTTAGTGGATAAAGGGAAGCTGTACATGAGACACAAAGACACAAAGATCTTTCTAGTTGCTGCCATTACCAGAAAAAAAAATGCTGAGTCGATAAACTACCATCCCAAGAGGAGCCCAACTAGTCCTTTATTGACAGGTTCATTACATTAAAGTGCTTTCATTCTTATGGAGTCACTGGAAGGGTCAGAATTTCATCTAGAGCAAAACTGACACACATTCTTTGAACATGGTATGCATGATAAAATGGGCTCATTTAGTTAACATATCAGAAGATTTGAAGTTTGATTCACTGAAGTAGGATCTTTTACAACCCAGCATCTATCTAAGGATACACTACTTTACAGTAAAAGATGTGTGTGTGTGGAAATGTAGAAATGGGCATAGGACTCTGACGGCCACTCATCATATCACATATAATAGCCCTCAGAAACTGTCTCATGATAGAGAAATCAAGTGGTCCTTTGAAGGCACAGCTGAGATGCCATCTGGACTATGATACCCCATGATGCCCAACTACCAGAACACTTTTATTTTTCTCCCAATAATTCTAGGCTCTGGGACTGTAGAGTTTTTTAAAAAAAAACTTCCACCAGGGGACAAAGGGAGTCATTAAAGAGTCAAATTTTAAGGAATGTCTGCCAACTTGTTAGTTCAGGTTCCTGATGCCAAGAGACAAGCCAGGAAGAGTTAACATCTGTAAGGGCTAATGCACTCTAATCATAAGGAGGAGATGGGTTTGCTGTTCCACAGTAGGCGTGTGAATCCAGATGATCCACTAGGGCATCTCTTGTGCTCCCCTGCCCAATTCAATCAACAAATGGACAATTTCAGTAAACATGGCCCAAGAAGGTATGGTAACTATGACCTTCAACATTCAGTGATGAAGGTTCAATTTGCCTTAACAAAAAAATCTACCTAAACCAACAGAGGTGCTGATAGTATGGAGACTCTAAAATAGTTAATAGAGGAGAATTAAAATGAGTACAAACTACATCTCTGAGATGAGTTTCAGTAGAAGGAGTCTCTGATTTGTGCCACCAAACCTTTTTATTTCCCCAGGAAATAGAACAAAACCCAATCCTGGAGGATTTTGGCTTGTACCAACACACTTAGCCAAGCATTCACAAGCCACAACCCATCCCCTGTTCCCTAATGGGATGGGCATTTCATAGGACACAAGTGGATATTAGTGGCATAATAAATGGACTATGATGACAGCTGTTGGGTGCCACCCAGATCCCCCAAGACACTCCTTCCACAGCTGCCAGGGGTGTTGTCAGCCAAGAGAACAGATTGAAAATTGACCTCAGCTGAAGCTGTTGGCATCATGTAAGCTTCTGCCTCCTCCCCAGGAGCAGGCCTCATAGATGATTGGTTGATGTAAGGGTACAAAGGCTCAATCTCCTTGCCTCAATTGGGTCAATTCAGAAGGGCCATCAGAGCTCTCGGGCTCCCTGTGCAGTAGACTGATACTTCTGTTGCACCTGCATGCATGTTGACATTTCCTTTGTGTACCTCTGCTTTCCTCAGTTCCGCACTGTTGCTGCTCCTTGGAGCACTCCCCACGCCACTCTTCACAAGTGAAACTGGGTTGGGATCTGGTTTCCAAGGACAACCAACCTGAGAGAAACACCCATTGCATCATTATTTGCCACATACTCAAAAAATCAGAGGTAACAAAAGCACATGATCTGTACTTACAACACCATGATTTTGGCAATGTTCTAGGCCTTGTGTTTAAGAGTGTCTGACCAACTGGAGTGAAGTATCTAGAAAAAAACATCAAAGGAACATAGTCTAGGAATTCAGATTTTTAAACAGAGTACATTAGACTTAGGTAGATTGTGAGAGCTGCCATTAGATCATTGAAACACTTACATATAATAGAAGGATTAGGGATTTTTTAAATGTTATTCCATAATATGGGTTTAAGATAAATGAGTAAAAATTACAGAGAAGTTTTCAACTTAATACTAAAACTTAATACTAAAAGAAACAAACTATTAGAGCTAATAAATGAATTCAGCAAAGTGGCAGGATATAAAATCAACACGCATAAATCAAAGGCATTCCTGTATATCAGCGACAAATCCTCTGAAATGGAAATGAGGACAACCACTCCATTCACAATATCTTCAAAAAAAAATAAAATACTTGGGAATCAACCTAACAAAAGAGGTGAAAGACTTATACAATGAAAACTACAGAACCCTAAAGAGAGAAATAGAAGAAGATCTTAGAAGATGGAAAAATATACCCTGTTCATGGATAGGCAGAACTAACATCATCAAAATGGCGATATTACCAAAAGTTCTCTATAGGTTTAATGCAATGCCAATCAAAATCCCAACGGCATTTCTTGTAGAAATAGAGAAAGCAATCATAAAATTCATATGGAAAAATAAAAGACCCAGAATAGCAAAAACAATGCTAAGCAGGAAGTGTGAATCAGGCGGTATAGTGATACCAGACTTCAAACTATACTACAGAGCAATAGTAACAAAAACAGCATGGTACTGGTACCAAAACAGGCGGGTGGACCAATGGTACAGAATAGAGGACACAGAAACCAATCCACAAAACTACAACTACCTTATATTTGATAAAGGGGCTAAAAGCATGCAATGGAGGAAGGATAGCATCTTCAACAAATGGTGTTGGGAAAACTGGAAATCCATATGCAACAAAATGAAACTGAATCCCTTTCTCTCGCCATGCACAAAAGTGAATTCAAAATGGATCAAGGAGCTTGATATCAAATCAGAGACACGCCGTCTGATAGAAGAAAAAGTTGGCTACGATCTACATACTGTGGGGTCGGGCTCCAAATTCCTCAATAGGACACCCATAGCACAAAAGTTAATAACTAGAATCAACAAATGGGACTTACTCAAACTAAAAAGTTTTTTCTCAGCAAAAGATACAATAAGAGAGGTAAATAGAGAGCCTACATCCTGGGAACAAATCTTTACTCCTCACACTTCAGATAGAGCCCTAATATCCAGAGTATACAAAGAACTCAAAAAATTAGACAATAAGAGAACAAACAACCCAATCAACAAATGGGCCAAGGACCTGAACAGACACTTCTCAGAGGAGGACATACAATCAATCAACAAGTACATGAAAAAATGCTCACCATCTCTAGCAGTCAGAGAAATGCAAATCAAAACCACCCTAAGATACCATCTCACTCCAGTTAGATTGGCAGCCATTATGAAGTCAAACAACAACAAGTGCTGGCGAGGATGTGGGGAAAAGGGTACACTTGTACATTGCTGGTGGGACTGCAAATTGGTGCAGCCAATTTGGAAAGCAGTATGGAGATTTCTTGGAAAGCTGGGAATGGAGCCACCATTTGACCCAGCTATTCCCCTTCTCGGTCTATTCCCTAAAGACCTAAAAAGAGCATGCTACAGGGACACTGCTACATCGATGTTCATAGCAGCACAATTCACAATAGCTAGACTGTAGAACCAACCTAGATGCCCTTCAATGGATGAATGGATAAAAAAAAAATGTGGCATTTATACACAATGGAGTATTACTCTGCATTAAAAAATGACAAAATCATAGAATTTACAGGGAAATGGATGGCATTAGAGCAGATTATGCTAAGTGAAGCTAGCCAATCCCTAAAAAACAAATGCCAAATGTCTTCTTTGATATAAGGAGAGTAACTAAGAACAGAGTAGGGTCGAAAAGCATGAGAAGAAGATTAACATTAAACAGGGATGAGAGGTGGGAGGGAAAGGGAGAGAGAAGGGAAAATGCATGGAAATGGAAGGAGACCCTCAGAGTTATACAAAAGTACATACAAGAGGAAGTGAGGGGAAGGGGAAAAATAATATAAGGGGGACAAACGAATGTCAGTAGAGGGGGCAGAGAGAGAAGAGGGGAGGGGAGGGGAGGGGAGGGGAGGGGAGGGGGGATAGTAGAGGATAGGAAAGGCAGCAGAATACAACAGACACTAGTATGGCAATATGTAAATCAATGGATGTGTAACTGATGTGATTCTGCAATCTGTATATGGGGTAAAAATGGGAGCTCATAACCCACTTGAATCAAATTGTGAAATATGATATATCAAGAACTATGTAATGTTTTGAACAGCCAACAATAAAAAATTAAAAAAAAAAGAAACAATACCTAATAATTAAAATCTTTGCAAAAAGATAATGAACTACTCAGAGAATGAGTTCCCTAATATTAAAATGATGTCTGTCATAGTACATTCAGGATCCTATAACAAAAGTATCATAAATTAGCTTATAAACCATAGAAATGTGTTACTTATGGTTCTGAAGCCTGGGAAGGCTAAAATCAAGTGTCCAGGGAGGACCAGTGTCTAGGGAGGACTGGCTTTTAATGATGGCATCTTCTGGCTGTCTTTCTTACATGTGGAAGGGTCAAGGCAGCTCTCTGGTGTCTATAGTAGGGGCACCCAAGAGTACCTAATCACCTACGAAAAACCCTACCTTCCAATGTCATCATCTTGGGGATGGGATTGCAACACACAAATCTGGGGGCAGGGAACATGATCACACCATGGCTATATACAAGGAGAAGCTGCATCATTATTTTGTGAGTGTTGTCAGTACCATAACCTGAATGAACTATAAGGTATATATCAGTTCTCTATTACTCTACATCAGTTTATCACAAAATTGACAACTTTAAACAACACAAATTTGTGATATCACCATTTCTATGGGTTGGGAGTATGGATGTGTATAGCTGGGTCTTACCAGGTTAACATCAAGAAGCCAGCCAGGTCTGGAGCCTGATGCCTGGAGCCCTCTTCCATGCTCACTCAGGTTGGAGGGGGGCAAGCTGCACTGTTCTTTGCAACTCCTCAACTGACCCTTATTCTTGATGGCAAGGGGTCATTCCAAATTAATAGAGGATATTCTCAGTCTCTTATCACATGGCCTTTAGCAAGCTCTCTGATTTTTTTTTTTTTTTTTTTTTGACTCAATATTTCTTTCAGTAAAGTTCAGGAGTTTTCAAGTGTCAACTGGATTAGGTCAGTCCTATCTAGATAAGTGGATTTGTAACATTATCACAGGAGTGATAACCCCTCCTATTCACAGGTTTAGACATACACCGTGACAGTATATTATACAAGAATGTGTGCCAGAGGACAGGATTCTACCTACCACAAAATGTTTCCATCTCTACATTTCTGCAATTCAGGTCCCAATGACCATCAATTGAAGACCACTAAATTAAATGTCTCCTGAGTTATCAAAGTTTGCCTCCTGGGGCTGATTTGGTTTATAAAAATTTGGGATTATATAACCCAAATCAGCCCCAGGAGTGGCTGAGAAGAGACCATCTTCAGGTCAGTAATGCTTCAGAGCTTCCTGTGGAGGCTGGAGTGGGGTCTACATGCTTGGAGCATGCTCACAGCACTCACTCCAGCCTCCCGCGACACCTCAGAAGCCTTATGGATCTAATGTAAGCTGGAAACTCCAGAATGTCTGAGTCCCAAAAAGAACAGTTGGTAAACAGCCAGGACAGTGTCTGCCACCAGGAGATATACATTTCTGGGAATAGACCAGAATTTTTCAATGAGGAAACAAGACGAGTTTCCAATTCTTCTCTTTCTATTCTTTCTCTGTTTTTAGCTCTTCATCTAGAGACTAAAAGGTTAATATTTTGTGCATAATTATAATAGTGGCTCAACTGAGACCCCTTTCTGAAGGAAGGAGGGAAGAATTACCCGGGCAGGAGTTTAGAGATGAAAAAGCCATACACTCCAAGAATCTGGCTACAAATGTCTCCAGGCCCTGAAGGAGGTGATGCAGGGATGATTATCTGTCACCCACAATGGGCCAGCCTAATCTGCTCTCATTGTATGTGACTGCTGCCTCCTGTGACCAAACCCCTCCAAATCAGACTGAAAAGAACTCATTTGGCTTCACGAAGGTGAGAAACTGGGAGAAACACTGGCTCTCCTGACATTTTGGCTTCCAGTTCCTGGATCCTTGGCCCTGAGAGAGCTGAGCCAAGCAAATAGATCTTTATCTTTGCTCAGTGAGCTGCTCATCTCATGAACAGAAACCAAGCATCCTTTCAATGAAGGTGTACTATTGGGCAGACCCGAAACAATGAGCCATGCTTTGTATAGAGAGTCTAAGGACATGGACCCTCTGTGTAAAATTACGACCAATGAACACTGCTCTATACTAATATTCAAACAGAATCAAAGCACGTTATTTTCTAGGATAAATTGTTAACGTATTTGAGCTAAACTTTTAAATTTTACTTCTAAACTTATAGCAACAGAATTTGAAATGTACTCCATCTCCACTTCTTGTTTTCTCTGTGGGCATGATGTTTGTATATATTAGTCTGCATACATGTGATTGTTCTGATAACAGATAATTATGGAGAATATAGAAAAACTTGGAAAAAAGTTATTGATATTTTCCATATTCAAAGATTACCATGATTAATGCTTTGCATTATGCCCATCACATCTTTGATAAATTTCGTATGTATCAAGTATAGTGTTTGGTAGATTGAAATTTAATATTAAAAAATACTTTGTATAGTGGGCACAGTGGCATATGCCTATAATCCCAGTGGCTCAGGAGGCTGGGGCAGGAGGATCCAAGTTCAAGGTCAGTCTCAGCAACTTAGTGAGACCTTTTCTCAAAATAAAAACTTAAAAAAGGGCTGGGGATGTGGCTCAGTGATAAAGCACCCCTGGGTTCATAAACTCCCCAAACCTCAGGCTTATACTCTTGTTATTACTGTTAGA